TGCAGCATTGCATGAGAACCATCCCATAAGGTTCAGCCATTAGTTTTCTGCGTGGAACTAGACAGATCTATGATAATATGGGCATCTGTCTTTTAGTTTTAGCAGTGCTTAAACCAACCCAAGAGGGTCAGTTTTGAGGAAATGATTCAGAGTTCAGCCCCCCCCCTTCCAGTGCCATTGCCCTGATTTATATTTTCCCCTAAGATTCCCTTTTTGGCTAAATTACATGTTGGGGATCTGATTGTGGACCCTATTGCATGTAATTTTGTCAGAACCTGCCCATTCTTTGAGCCCAAGTCACAGGTTTGAATGATGAAGAGAGACTCACTGGAGATCGTTTTGGGAGCCTGTCTAGTGTGGTGGTTTAGAGTGCCATACTAGAACTAGCTAGGTACAAATCCTCACTCAGCCATAATACTTTGGATGATTTTGGAGCAATTACACACACTCTCTTACTTAGCTGGACCTACCCCACAGGATTGTTGTGGGCTAACCGTGTACGCCAGCATGAGCTCCTTGAAGAAAGGATAGTATAAAAGTGTGATTGACAGAGTGCCATATATAGTAGAAATCAGAGGTCTTGATAGTTGCTTGTGCATCCCTGACTCTGGACTGAACTGGATCCATTTATTTTGTTGTTATCTCTTTTGCTGCATGCCCAGATCCCTCCTGCACCACTTTTCTTGGGAGAGACTGATATTCTGGGCTCATTTCAATCAGGCTTCAGCCCAGGATTTTAGGTAGGGACTGCCTTGGTCGCCCTGGTTGCTGACTAGACAGAGGGAATGTGACCCTGCTAGTTCTGCTGGATCTCCCAGTGACCTTTGATACTATCAACCATAGTATCCTGCTGAGCCATCTCTCAGTACTGGGACTAAGGGGCACTGTAATACGGTGGTCTGAGTCCTATCTGAGGGTGGTCAGTCTAAGAAGGTAGCATTGGGAGATTCCTGCTCTACCTCATGGCCATTGGCCTGTGGGGGTTCCTTAAGGTTCTATCTTACCCCCATGCTGTTTAATATCTATATGAAGCCACTGAGAGAGGTCATCAGGAGGTATGGGCTGCACTGTCACCAATACACAGATGATACCTGGCTCTACCTTTCCTTTCCAATTGATAGCTCTTTTTCGATTCTGTGGGCGATGATGCATGGCTATTCTTAGTTGGTGGAGCAAATTGTCTGGATTCCGATAACATTTCTTTTCCTCCTAATTCTGAGGATGCTATTGATGTTCTGAACCAGTGCTCAGATTCAGTAATGAACTAGATGAAGAGGAACAAGCGGAAACATAATCCTGACCACACAGAGATTCTCTGGGTTAATAGAAAAGCAGACCCAGGAGTTGAGATCTTTCCTGTCTTGGATGGGGTTATACTTCCCTTGAAAGACAGATTTGCAGATTGGAAGTGCTGCTTGACACAGGAGTCACATTAGAAAACCTGGTGGCTTGGAATGCTTTCACCCAGCTTCACCTATTGCGTCAGCTGCATCAATTCCTAGTTCAATCAGATCTAACCACAATGATCCTTAGTTACATCTGGACTGGATTATTGTAATGTGCTTTGCTTGGTGGTACCCTTGAAGAGAGTTCAGAATCTGCACCTATTGCAGAATGCTGTAGTTGGTGTTGGTCATAGCCAACTACCAGGAGCATGTGACCCTGCTACTACTACTACACTGGCTACCAATCTACTCTTTATTCAAGGTGTTGGTTTTGACCTTTAAAGTTCTACATGGCTTGACACGGTGGTATCTGGAGGACTATCTTCCCTCATATGTTCCTGCCCAGGAATTAAGATCACAGGGAGAAACCCTCTTGATTACTCCAGCAATCAATGAAGCTTGTCTGGTAGGCACACGACGGAGGGCCTTTTCAGTGGCAGCCCCACAATTATGGAACAACCTCCCCAGGGATGTGCGCCTGGCCCCCATCACTTTCGATCTTCAGGAGGCAGCTGAAGACTGTTTTATTTAATACTGCATTTGACTGATTTAGTTTTTATTTATTGGCAGTAGTAATTGACATTTTAAACTTTTTAAATATGTTTAACCTTTGCTTTATGCACACTGTAAGCCACCTTGATTGTTGCAAGGTAGGAAGGTGGCTAATAAATCTTTTAAAATGAATAAACTTTCTCTCTACTTCACCTCTGGAGCCTCAGCACAATGGTGTTGGTGATGCTGGAGCACACTGCTCTGAGGCAGCAGAGTCCTCATCTAGCAGAACAGAGCCTCACTTCTTCAAGCTCTTCTTGTGAAGACGACCTCCTGAGGAAAGGGGCTGCAGGATGTCCTATCCAAAGCCTCTTTCAGGCTAGACCTTGCTGATGAGGCATATATGCTGCCTACTTCCGTGTATCTAAATGCCTTGTGTACAGCACACTACTGGTACAGCAGTTGATCCTTCAGTTCTTGCTGCAGCCTCAGGGATCTCTCCTTGCTCCTGCAGCTCTTGTCCCCCACCAGCTCCTGTGTTTCTGTAGTGAGGAAAGCTGGATAAGTTTGTCTCTCCATATGGAATGCTCTTCTCTATACCTGACCTTTGTGCTGGTTTCCAGTGAGTGGTCTTGTCAAGTATTGACTCAACGTCGTAGTAGGAAGTTATTCAGCTTTATTTAACAACAGGAACCTCAGAAGAACACACAACAACGAACAGTGGAGCATAGCTCCCTTTTAAACAATCCCGGGCTGATGTAGCCACGCCCAGGAATAGTTAAGGACCAATAGTATTCTTACAATAAAGTCCAATCAGGTCTGTTCCCTCCAGCATAGTTCTTAAGCTTTGATTGGTTACATTTTACCATTAGCCAATAGGATTGTTTCAGCTTAGAATCCTGGCCGAACCTCAAGCTTAACATTGCATTTAATACAGTGAATACATAACAGGTCCCTTGCCTGCTCTGCCCTCAGAGCATGCTTGATCCTACACCAGGCAAGTGGCCCAAGAGCTCATAAAACTCCTTCCCCTGTGAAAGAAATGAAAGCAGACCCAGGCTCACCCCCTCTCTAGTGCTCTAAAGGGCAACACATTAGAAGGGGAGTCTGCCATACTGAATGCTGGACTGGAGTTTTTCTCCTGCCCCTTTCCGCCCAGCCTGCGCTGCTCTCCTTTGTTTTCTTTCTCCGGCACTATGTCTCCAAACTCCATTACTTCCAGTTTTTTAAGAAATCCATGTTTTTTTGTACAAAGTGTTCCTTCCAGTTTTGTTGGTTTATAATATTTGCCCACCTATGCGATTTGTTTGGTTGAAGAACTTTTTGGTTTCCCCCCTATTCTATTCCCATACAAGTCACCCCAGCTTTTACCTCCCCCCCCTACTGCCTAAGAACTAGAATTCTCCTTTCTGTTGCTTTCCAACCACTATTTGAAGCCTGTCTGTGCCAGTGTTTAATTTTTCAGGGCTCTGTTAATCAAGAGGCATTCCCTCCCAATGGGTATGTTTATCCGTTCTGTCCAGAGCAGTGTTCCCTCTAAGCTGAGTTAGTGTGAGCTAGCTCACAGTTTCTTAGCCCCTGGCTCACACATTTTTGTCTTAGCTCAGGAAGGAGGGTGCTCCAGAGCAAACTAATTCATGCAGCAGCCAAATCACTCGCTCACAACTTTAATGCCAGTAGCTCACAAAGTAGAATTTTTGCTCACAAGACTCCACAGCTTAGGGGGAACATTGGTCCAGAGTGGTAGGAAGTATTTTATTTTTAAACCCTGTGGGGTTTTTTTAACTTATTGCCTGTGGTGAAACATGGCAGTAACCTGCTTAGTAGTAGCATAGTTTTCTAGATGTGATATTTTTAACATAAGCATGGTAGGAAATGTATCTCTGCGCTCTCTCTCTGTCTGTCTGTCTGTCTGTCTGTCTGTCTGTCTCTCTCTCTCTCTCTCTCTCACACACACACACACACACACACACACAATTTGTTCTTTTCCCTCCCTTGTTCTTTATATTATTGACATCAAAATATTTGTCAGGGCTAAAATTTTATTCCTTTGAAATAGTGGTGGGGCCTCTCACACAAAATTCAGGATTTCTGCACTTGGTTCTAAGCCTTCTCTCCGGGCCAGTTCAATATTGGCAGCAGTGACTGACAGCTATTAATGAATTAAAACATCTGTTGGGGTGGTTGGGGGACCTGAATATAAAGAATATGCATGAACATCAAACTGGTTTAACAAACAGTAATCAAATTCAGTCAAAACAAATAAACTTTAGGAAGATGGTGGTTGTTGGTATTTTGAAAACCTTTTAACTGTAAAACCTTTGAAGGACTGATTTTTACAGACATTTCTTATGCGATACAGTCCTCATATTCCACATGTGAGACATTTGTGTGAAAGAGCATATCAGAGTTCAAAGCAATATTATGAAAACAAGCCTAGTGTGGCATAGCTTTTCATTGTTTAATGTGGAGAATGTTTCTGCAATAGTGCATTCCCTCAAGCACTGAATTATGACCAAAAATTTGTAAGAACTGCACTGAGACTGGAGAGTACAGAATTCTCTCATACAAAATCCAGCCCTCCAACTGATTATGTATTCTTAGTGCTCACTAATGCTTTCAAGAAATGCTCATCTTCCCCTTGGTCCGTGTGTTATACAAGCAACTCTGTAGGCTGCATGCATCCTGCCACTTGTAGTCTAGGGCTATACTGAGAACAGTTAAGACTCTTGCCTTTTTCTGGCCTAGCACCTTAAAAGTATGTGGTCCTACTCATCATCTTTTCCTCAAAAGTATCTGTTAATGAACAGTACAATAGCTGAAAGATTTGTTTATTTGTGGTAATTACAAGGGGAGCCTAGCTGTGTTGAGTGCATTCATACCTCAAGTCAACCACAGGTGTGCAGTGGAACTATTTTTTGGCTGTGCCTGTACAGCCTTAGATTGTCATGTTATGCGTATGTGTAATAATTACATTACAATGAGAATTTTGCATGTTCAGAAATCTTATTCCCAATTAGTAATACATCCAAACTGCTTTATTATTATTCATTATCATTACAGTCTTACCACTCGTCTACCCAAAGCTGGAGAGACCATACATGGGCACAGGTTTTTCACTGGATTTGGAGGGAAAGGTGCCAATCAGTGTGTCCAGGCTGCACGGCTTGGGGCTGAAACCTCAATGATCTGCAAGGTAGGAATTGACTTAGGTCTTCTGGTTTCATACCTTTTCCAGTTATTCATACAATTATTTGTAAACATAAAATTTATTTCAAGAAACTAAAAAGAAATTAAGATGATTCAGATCAGCAGTCCAATAACGTACTTTTCAGCTGGTTACTGATTCTTGAATTAGGCTTGGTTGACACGAAAAGCTAGACTATGATTTGGAGGTGCAGGAATGTCTTGTTTGAACAACCCATAATCTTTATGAATTCTTTAAGAATTCCAATTAAGTGGGAGTGGCATATTTGCCTCAGCAAAGATTTCTGTAAAAAGGCTCCACCGCCCAAAACATTCTGTTTCCAGTAGCAACCATTCTTATTTCAGATGGTGGTAACACCCCACTATTATAACTCATGGGGACAGAGGAATGTAAGTCTCAGCTTTCTATAACTATTCCATTTTCAGGCTTTAAAGATTAAAACTAGCATCTTGACTTGAGTACAGGAATGAGCTAGCAACCAGCAGAACTGTGCCACTTCAAGGGCGTAGACTTTCCAATTTCCCACATCATAGGGAGGAGCTAGTGACATCACAGGCCATGGTCACTATATATGGAGGTGGTCCCATGTGGGATTTAGGGATGGGCTCCCCAGAAATTTAGGGAGGCCTGGGAACTGCCCTAGCAATGTCCCTGAGCTGGGCTAACCCCAGGAACAGTTGCCTTCTTAGCACACTGCTTAGAAACTTAGAAAGCCCCACACACACCCCACACTGGTATAAGAACATAATATCAGGCCATACCACATTGCAATAAAGTCCCTACAACTGTATACAGAAATACTGAGCTTCCCTACCATTTGCCACAACTAGCCCACCACACAACCAGGATCAAGACTCCTAAGTGGACCAACAGACAGACATACACT